TGGGATAGAAACTTCTGACCCACGTTTCAAAATGAAGAGTATCAATGTCTGCAAATGTTAGTAAGCACTTAAAATCATAGAAGAAAGTGCTTGGGTGAATGTGGCATGTTGAATGAACAATAGGCTGTGAGGTCAGTTCCTTGATCATTAATATGCAAATCCTGGACAGGGAGGAACGCTGGTTTGAGTGAGGAATCAAGGAGGCCATTTACGTGAAAAGGAAAAGACCATCTCTGAAACGAGGAAGATGTACCTGAGGGTCCATCTGTCACCATCTTACAATGCTGTGATTGCAGCCATTCCCCAACTCTGTGAATGCTACTCATCGTCTTTGATCAGTGGTCATGACAATTTGCATATTAATGATCCAGGAACTGACCTCACAGCCCATTGTTGATTCAGTGGGCTGGACCAGTTGTGCAAATGTGCTGTTATAAGGTTGGAAACGTGCAGTCAGCTGAGACTGAAGAAGCCACTTGGGCGAGTGACGAAATGTTTCTCCCGCTGAAGACGTCCAGATGGACAAAATCGACCTCGTGGGATGCATAATGACCAATGCATTGAATGTTTTTCAGTGTCACACAGGATGAAGAAGATGAAGAAGACAGTTCTGGGCACCTGCTGATGTGCCAGTTAAAAGAAAATGATATTCCCCTGAAGGTGCTGGTGCAAACAGATGACATCAGCAGACAGGTATGCTTATGTTGTTAGGGGACGAGTCATTTGGCACAACCAACATGTTTTTGATTTTTGTTCTAACATATAAAATAAATAGTCAACTCTGAGTCAGCTCAAAGAGAAAATGTGGTGGGAATATACTAAAATACTTGATGCAAGTTTTCACTGTGGTCACTAATACCCCTTTAAGGTTTGGTCTTCCTGCAGGCAAGACTCAATTTGTGGCCTGTTTTAGCTCCAAAGAGGAAGGAAACCACAGAGTTCAATGGGAAGATTCGTTTTTCCTCGGTTCTCAGGCCAAAGATGTGATGTAATCCAGGCCTGTGTAACTACGAGTAAATCACTAAATCTGCAAGCAAGGAATTAAACTACTGTAAAATATTTCATGGTGGTACAA